TGCTGCAACTAAAATGAGCAGGTGAATAGTGAAAATTATGGGTTAAAGGACACGTGCAAAGGAAAAAAACATTTTTTAAAACGCTTGGATGGAAAAAGAATGTCAAAATGATTTTACAACGAAAAAAAAAATTTGTAGAGCTATATTTACGGCGCTATACGAATATGTAGTTAGCGCCCGCGGGAGCCGCCGCTGGTCATGTGGTAGGCCCGCGCTGCCGCCGCATGCTGAGCGTTGTGTGAACGCCGCTTCAACGTGTTTCTCCACGCCGTCGTCGTCGCCGCCGCCGCACAAGTTCGTCTGCTTCGGGGCGCCGCCGCCGTCGTCTGACCAGCGCACTGGTCTATTACGTCTGCTTGCACTTTTTCAGGAGTTTCCTTGGGGCTCTAAAAGTATTTATTCATCTTAGTTTTTTGTTATACTTGAAACAAAGATGAATAAGTTACTTTTAGAGGCCATAGGAAGCTTCTGAAAGAGCGCAAGCACCATGTGATAAATAAGGGCCACTTTTCGTGGCACCCTGTGCCAACTACAAATTCGTATAGCGCCGTAAATATACCTCTAAAATTTTTTTTTCTTCGTTGTAATATTGTCTTATGACATTCTTTTTCCATTTAAGCTGTTTAAAAAAAAATGTTTTTTTTCTTTACATGTGTCCTTTAAGTGATCTTTGGAAATGCAATAGCAAAATTTTATAAAAAAATTGGTGATAAACATTAAGGTACCCGCTCGAACCACTTGAAATGAGAACGGATAGTGCAGATCCCGGGCGGCAGCAGATTCACACTTTACGGTGTGATAGACACTTGAGAACCTGCTACATACTTGGCTGTTATGAGAACTGATATCATGCACGCAGATTGCGAACAAAAATTGTGGGAACCCACTACGAAGTTGCACGTCATGGGAACGAATACCGCAAGTTGCAGATGCAGCAGGTTTGCGTGTCACGGTGTGATAAACCTGCAGGAACCCGTTACGAATTCCTTGTCACTTAAAGGGTCACTGACAGGGTATTTATGCTCGGTGAGGTTTTTAGTTGTACGTGAGTTAGGAGAGCTCAACTACCCAGAACAGAATTTGCGGCTCGAAATTCGGTTTCTTTCCGCCCGAAAACCACCGATCAAGAACTGACCGATTCGAGTCTCGCTCAATCTCTTTTCCGCGGTCACGGGCCGTTTTCTAAGGTATCGACGCGACCACCAAATTTAATTAAAGTCGTGGGTTACTGGAGGCACACACTCAATATTAAAAATAGAAAAAAATATGAAACCCATTTTTTGTGGCTTCTAAAAAGCTGCAAATACGTTGATTGAAAAAAAAAAAGTTGCACAGAGAACCGGAAGCATTCTATGCGTTCGTTTCGCGTATCGTGGGACTCGCGAAAACGGCGATGGGAGCGGACGACGGGCGTGGGACCTCTATTTCAAAACTGTCGTTCGCGGTACCGGCGAATTCTGTCTACTTTTAAAAGAGAAATTTGGGACTGATCAAAAGAATTGGTATTCATCCCGTACGACACGCCCGACCACCAAGCCGATTTGCACGAAGACGTCGCCGAGCCTTCGCTCCCTTCTCGTGGCTGAAGACATCGCTCGCGCAAACGTCAAGCACGACATGTCTACTTCGAGTTGAATATGCACGCGTACGATTTTTTTTGCTTAATGCGAATGTCGCTAATGCGTGGTGCTTCCCAACTTCGACCCAGGAGTGCTTTTGCTAGAGGAAAATCGGCAGCAAACTTTTCAACTTACAGTTTACCGGCTGAATTATTACTAAGGAAAGAGATCCACCAGTACAGAGATGCCCCAGTAGCTCAGCGGGAAAGACGTCCGCTTTACACGTGGTAGGAGCGGGTTTGATTCCCCGTGAAACCTTTTTTTTTTTTCATACATTTTTCTATGTTTACATATCTTTTTTTTTTTACAATTATCACTGAAGAAACAAACAAAAAAAAATAACAAACAAATGTTGTGGACGACACTTCGCTGAATTAAATGGTATGGGATTTCCTTTTTGACACCTGCGAACTCAATGTAATCACTTTCCACAAAATGCAAGGAGCATATAAATCAGGTAGCGTCTGCTTTCCGAGGTGCCCGTATATGTTCTACAGGAATTGCAGCCGGCCATTGGTCCCGATCCCGTTGATCTTTCAAAAACTCTGTCGCACAATGCCCCTTTTTTTTCGGACGCAGGACATGTGGAGCCAGCCCTTCACGCAATAATCTTGGGTGTATTCTTTTCGCAACCGATCACGGAAATTCACCACGGGCACTCACTACTCATCTCCAACTCCTCAATGTACAAAACAACTCATCTTGGAGTACAGAACAACGAGCGGAACAAACATAACTGCAAAAGAATCGCACGGGGAAAAGTTCCCGTACGCTGCATGTCATGTCGTCTGCTACGGAGAGGAGAAAAAAAAAAAAAAATGCACGGTCGGGTGTAGTTACGTGACTTCCGCCACTCACTCTCTTCTCTACACTTCTCCGATCTCCGTCGGGTTTCCGTGTCAGTTTCGAGCGGTTGCGTCTTTTGGCTTTATTAAAAAAATATCCTACTCTGTTGCAAAATATTAATTGGGTAGTCCTCCGACATCATAATGAAGCGCCTGGCAAAAAATAAAAAATAAATTTTGGGGGGTGTCAGTGTCCCTTTAAACCGGTACCTTAGACTGCGCAGTTGATGTAATACCCGTTGGACCAACATCACTAGGGGCACTTTGTGTTTCAGTTGCGGAGCTTCCTATCTCGCCAGTGCGCTGCGCTTGAGCGGAAAACTTTTTGGTGCCAACCCATTAGGCGATGCTGGTTTTGTCAGCTCCTCGTTTCATCTTGATGCACTGTCTGGGACGGTAGCAACTGCGACCTTGACCCGTGCATGGGCGCAGACAAGAAAAGCCATAGTTTGGGATTTCCGCATCACTTATGGACCGAACTCCGATCTTCCTTGCGATAACTCAACAATGTCATTGCCTATTTTGCGTTTGTAAACTGTCGGAACATCCCCGCTCTTAAATTGGAGATCACACACATGGTAACTTGCCGAGAAGGGCTTTCCTGCGTGCTCCATAGTGCAGTCCCAAGCTTGTTTTTTTCCGACATCTGCCGGTGGTTTCAAAAAGTACCATTTTCCTTTGTCGCTGTTAAAACCGCTCATAAACCCGGTACACAACACGTTGGCATAACTGCAAATCTATCCAACTGTAAGAAAAAAAGTTCCTTTATGGTTTTTTTATCTTCCTTGACGGATTCTTCTTTCTCCCAAGTTTCTTCTTTTTTTCCGAAGGTTTTCTTCTTCTTTTCGAGGGAATTTGGGGTCAGGGGAAGGGAAGGGCTGACCTAAGGCATTGAGGGTGGCATCATTAAATGTCAGTTGCCAGTCGATAGAACTATACTGTCTGCCTTCGTCCCTACGAGTTTCATTCTTTCAAGTTTTTCAAATTCAAGAAAAATGTTTTACTGAACCATACTTCCCAAGCTGTACATTTTCGATCGATGCGAAGATGAACGTGCAAGATATCGCGCTCAAGCTGCCACGGCTGCATCTGCAGGATGCTTTGAGTAGCAACGTACAGAACCGGAACATGCAAAGGTCTGGACGCGGAGCTGACAAAGCCAGGTGCAGGCAGCATCGCTCGGCTTTGTTATACTCCGACGCTCAGTGCAGCGAACACATCTGCAGCGTTGCGCAGAACATGTGGCTTTCATTGGCCGGCGAGTAGGAATTCAATACCTCTTACCAATCAGTATTTGTGTGCGCTGTGCCACGCCAGTTTGCAATGCTCAACGTTCGAGTATAGCAAAGACTTTAATGTTCCACCAGCCACTCGAAGCGATAGTGTGTTCGACCCAGAAACTTTTTGGCTCGGCCGCAGAGCGCGAGTTCTGCAACTGATACGAAGCTTCTAGTGATGTTGCATCAAACGTCGCGTGAAGCTTCTAGTGGCGTTGCGTCAAACGTCACTTGATATCTAACGGGAGCCAAGGGGTGGGTGATGTTTCAGAATTTCTATGTTATGGATATTCAGTCAAAAAAGATGGGGTGGGTGATCTCTCCGGGGAGGGCAGTCATACAAGATTTTATGATAGTGGCAAGAACAAATGTACACATATACTTGCACTTTTAATGCAGAATGTGTTATATGGCTGACACCTAAACATATCCAGTTGGGTGCTAGCAACGGAAGTTGACAGACCGACCGCCAGCCGAATGCTCATGCGGCGCTCGTCACCTCACTGGCTGGACACCATGTGCCAGCCGAACCTGTTCCTTGAGTGCCTTTGTGTAACTCCCGGCGGGGGAAAAACATCACGTGTTCGGACGTACAGTGGCACCCTGCTCTTCGAAACGAGCGTTCTCTGGGCTTCACCAGAAAAAGGGTGCCAGAGAGAGCAGCAGAAAAGAAGAGAAAAGAAAGCAGACGCTCACTTTGCCGCAATGGGTTGAGGTATAGTTAGTGTTTGGTTCTCTTTTTTTGCGAGCTGGCAACAGAGCTCTGCTCAGCGCTGCCGCGTTCGAATTGTTCTGTTTTCCGCCTGTTCAGTCTAGCGTGTGTCGCACTCTAACAAACTCTGAGAAAGTCGTATTTACACTGCAACCGCAGAAGATGGCACCCACGAGTAAGGCATCCACAAAGCGCTCATGCGCTTACCTTGCACGACACTAGGCCGCTTCGCACCATCCAGTCTCCATATCTGTATGCAGTTTCTCTACACTAACACATCACATTCTGCATTACCACTGCCTTTGCCATGCTAGTGCGGCAAAGGGGCGACTTGTTTCAGAAAAGCAGCTTCGACAATTTTAGTATTTTCTCAATGATATTGAGCAGCCTATTCCAATTTTTGATAGACTGCGGAAAAAGTAACCATTTGAACGTGTTAGCTCTGTGTTTGAACAACCAACTTTCCTTTAAATTACTTCTTCACCGTGAGACATGAGCAGGCTCGAGAAATCTGCCCGTTTCTTTCCCTGCACCCACCCCTTACTAGCAGAAAGATGCCAAAGCCGGCGATGGTGTCAACGGTGGGATTCTGGGGGCACTTCCTGTCGCCAAAAGGCTCGAAGTGAACGAGCAAGTTGCGGCTCCGGCCGTAGCCAAGCCGTCCTCGACCACCACCACCACCAGCACGATGAGGCCCGCACAGGCCCTTGGTGATGGGGCAGTCATTCCCCAGGGGGCAGCGCCACCACTCAGGGATAATCTGCACGTCCAGTTCAAGTCCCCGCAGAATCCCATTCAGCTCGAAGTTGCCAAGCAGCCCGCCGAGATGCCTGTCGAACAACCTGGGCAACAGATTGCTCAGCCTGCAGTTCCTCAGCTCCCTAAACCCGCACTGCCCTCGGTGGAAGCTGCCCTCCAGAAGTCCGTGGCTCCCAAAGCACCCAAGGCACTTGGTGTCGGACAGGCGGACAAGGTAGGAATGAAAGTGGAGTTGTATAGCAGAAAGTGCCCAAAGGCCTGTTCACATGCATATCCTAGGGCCACCTTTTTGCTATTATTCAGCCCTGGTCGATTTTGTTGATCTGCACTGACTTTGCACTATATCACTGATCAGTCTGCACTCTGTGCAGTACATAAATTTCTCATGCAGCATACCTTAAAAAATGTACTTTATTAGCACACAGAAGAGCTTTTATCATATGCATTTTACTCATCATGAACATAACTTGTCATTCATAAAATTCACGACGTCTCGTCCAGTGTTTGGAAGCGCTTTTAAGTACATTGTACTTAAGGTACAAGGAAGTTTAGATTACTTGTACTTGAAGTACATTCTCTGGGTATGATTTTGTACTTAAAGTATTTTTTTTGTACTTTTGGAGGAAAGTACAACTCCTGATTTCAAAGTGCATTCCCCAAATATGATCTCGTTAAATTTGTATCACAGAATGATGCTTTGTCAACCCTGAAAACACTTGACTTTATTCATTATTCGCTGCCATTTCCAAAAATGACTGATGCACTCTCAATTACCCCTGGGGCAAGGCATACCAGTTACAAAAATAAAAAAGAAACACTGTAGAGGGGAATGAAAGAGCATCATGAAAGATTGTGATAAAAAGTACACACTTGTCCTTTACTTAAAAAAATTGGTTTGCTCTGTATTCTTATACAGCGCTGGTGGAGATACGCGTCAACAGGTAATCGGTCTTTTAGCTGTAGATGAGAAATTTATCCGGTGCAGTACAACCGCTAACCTGGGTTGTTAATGTGCATCACACATCAGTGATTACACAAATGCGTGCCGATATGAAACTCGTCCACATAGAAACGGGCGGGGGTTGGCGGGGATCGAACCCAGCAGGTTCCCAGCGCAAGCTTTTGCTCCATGCTCCGAGCTGAGACTCGTTAGCCCACTCGGCCACTTCCTCCCCTTGTCCTTTACTTTTAAAGTACATTGTATTTATAGTACTTCAAGTACATAAAGACTGTGCAATGCAGTTTTCCCTGACAGGTTGCGCCATCTGGTGCGCAACCTCTGCAACAATGGGAAGTCCCGTTTTGTCATTTGCGCCGTTGAAGATGCTCTACTTGCATTGGCATAGTGCGCGACAGCACAAACATACAAACGCCTTTTTATTATTACTATTATAATTATTATTTTTTTTTTTTTACAGTTTGCGATTAAAACTATATTGTGTCTCATCCTAACGTGTAAAGCAGCGGTGGCTACAAGTGTAAGGTCCTTGCTTTCCGTGCATATGGGGGCACGTAGTAACAACAATGTTTAGAGATAAATTTCTGTATTTTGTACCTATTTTATCTATTTCTTGAGCTCTAGCGATCACTTAATTGATACTGTGTTTTAATTACTGGAAAAAATCGTAAGGGTGCAGGCGAGCTGGTGAATATTAATCATGTTGAATTAACCTGAGACTGGGATAGAGAAGAAACATCAAAACGTAGAAGGGACAGAAAATAGATAGGACGACGTCTCAAGAGAGACGTCGTCCTGTCTATTTTCTGTCCCTTCTACGTTTTGATGTTTCTTCTCTATCCCAGTCTGAAGAAACATCAAAACGTAGAAGGGACAGAAAATAGATAGGACGACGTCTCAAGAGAGACGTCGTCCTGTCTATTTTCTGTCCCTTCTACGTTTTGATGTTTCTTCTCTATCCCAGTCTCAGGTTAATTCAACATGGTTTAATTACTGGTTTGATTTATTGTAGCGCTCAGTAAAAACTGCATGTGTGGTGGTGTTTTTAATGTGAAAGCATTAACTATTCTATAGAGCAGAGCCGGCGGCGTCTGTAACCACAAAAAAGAAAATATGAAAGAAATGCCCATTCTCCCATTGGCTGGGCAAAATGGCTCCTAGATAGCCATTGGCGACTGCTTCACGAAATCGTGCGCTCGGCCACCGCTCTCGTGTCAGGCGTTGTCGGAGGGGGGTGGGGGGCTGCGGCTGCTCTTCTGCTCCTCTTGGTGCCGAGGAACATGGCGGCGCCTGAGGCACCTATATTGTCAACAGCCGCAACCTCGGCAAAAAAAAAAGAAAGTGTTGTGTGTATGTTTATACAGCCTAAAATTTGGTCTGCCTAAACGGGTGACGAGTCTCCCAGCTGTAGATGAGAAATTTAGCCAGTGCACTACAACCGCTAGCATGGGGTCTTTAACGTGTATCACAGAGTAGTGATACACGATCGCATGCCGATACGACGCTCATCCAGATTGAAATGGGCAGGGGTGGGGATTGAACCCAGGATCCTGGGTTATGCAGCGCGAGCTTTCGCTCCACGTGCTCCGTGCTGGTGTGCGCTAGCCCACTCGGCCACCATCCCCCTTCGCACCCTCGGCAGTAGCGGTACACGGCCGTCCACGCCAGTACATCACAGACGAACGAAGGGCGCGAAGAACGACAGTCATGCTTTTGCATTCACAACTCAAAAAGTGCTTAGGTATCCTCGGAAATATTTTTTTGTGTTTTAATGAGAGAACACCAGCCGCACGCCAGAATGTTCTGTTGTGCGGCCGGTGGAAGATGTCAGTAAGGTGGGCGCATTTTTGCCTTTAATTTATTCAAGATACCAAAATGGCATTCTGACTCGGATACAATGTCTTTGTAGCGCTTGATATTGTTATTTGATGAAGAATATTGCGGATTTGCCAAGTTGCTATTTGTTGTTTGACCAATGCTGTCTATCAATGTCTTAAACAATTTAAAGTGTTTTACATAGTCTAATTTGAAGCCGAGACATTGTGACGGTATAGTATCTATATTCATCTAAGTGGTGCATAAAATAAATAGTTCAAGTACAGCCAAACATCTAAACAACACTAATGTTAAAAACAATGACATACATATATATTTTGAGTCATTAATAACACACTTTTTAAATACACGGCCAACTCCTGGACTGCGGTCTTATGTTCAATTAGGGCAAAAGGCTTTGCATCATTTTCATTTTCTTGTAACGTTGTCTTTAATTTTCTGGTCACATCGCGATGAGCCAATTTGGCACTCAATAAATTTTAATTAGCCATGTTGAAACAGATCAGCGTTTACATATTCTTAAGCAGACATGTATGTTTTCATACAAGTATATTATTCAAATAGAAAATACTCACCAGTTCGTTCTAGATCGCAGCATTTATTTCCTTACGAGGGGCACTGACAGGGTATTTATGCCTGCCAGAGTTTTTGTTTCTACGTGACATACGAGAGCCCAACTATCCAGAAAATAATTTGCGGCTCGAAATTTATTTTCTTTCTGCCTGAAAACCGCCGATCGAGAACTGGCCGGTTTGAGTCGCGCTTTTAGACACAACCACCAGATAAGTCGTGGGTCATCGAAGACACACACACAATATTAAAAATTAAAAAGGGATACGATACCCATTTTTTGTGGTTACTAAAAAGCTGCAAATACATTGATTGACGGAGAAATAGTTGCACTGCCACGTGACTTTCGCCAACTCTCTCCTCATCTATGGTCCTTCTTCCTCTGGAGTCCAGTTTCGGTTTCGGTTTCAAGCTGTTGCGTTTTCTTACTTTATTAAAAGCCTACGTGACGCTGTAGCAAAATATTGATTGGGTTGTCTTCTGACACCATATTGAATCATGTGGCAAAAAATAAAAAAATTAATTTTGGAGGTTTCAGTGTCCCTTTCAGGAATGCGACGCATTGGCGAATTCTCGAAATATGAAGCCATAGAATTACGTTTGACTACTGTTTGAACAGTGTCAGTGTAGTTTTTATCATAAATACATAAACAATGACTAAACATAAAACAAGTGTCTCGCAAATGTTCATCAACAATAAAATAATAATGTCAAAAAAATTGAGCTTACCTCAAACGCATATCCCGAGTTACCTCAAATAAAACATTCTGTATACTACATATAGAAAAAAAGAAAAAAAAAAAGTAAGGGCAGGCATGATCTAGTGAATGTTAATCACTATGATTAGCACTCCGAGACAGTAGTCAAACCTTTACCATGTTGCACGAGTGCCTTCTGCATCAGAGTGCATTTAATTGGTTATCCATGGATATGCCCACAGCATTATGTCCATAATACCAAATGAACAGCTCACTTTTACCTCAGGCAAACTAGAGTCACTACGTTTTCAATGTATGCGGGGACGTACGCAGTCAAACAAGCCAGCCCTGCTCTGGAAAGTTAGCAACGAGAAAGGGAGGAGAACCAGACGACACTCCGGCGACTGCCCATTGTTGCACTTTTCTGCCGGTGGAGGTGCTGACTATCTATCACCCGACTGCGGCGCTTCCTAGACATGTGCTCAGGGGCTATTGCGCCCGGTACTACTTGAAGTACATCATCTCTCATTTAGTGTGTACTTCAAGTACTTTTTAGATGTACTGTACACAACACTTGTCTTGTCATATGAACAATCTCGAAAAGTCCGCACCTCTAGATAGTCTGTACTGCATAAAATTCCAACTTTTAAACATGTGTAGTCTGCTGACTATAGTCTGAAAAATATGGTGGTAGCGTGTTAATTTCACGTCACTAGGCAAACTATTGTCGGTGACAGTAGCTGCTCCGCCTCAAGCGCAAGATTTTTGCCTTCGCTAACGCTTCATCGCATGTGCAGGCAAAGCCCAGTGGAATGCAGCGAGCGCATGCTTGAGACGGAGCATCTACTGTGTTCTTATCCTGTCACTGGCTACGGTGCTTGATAATTGATGCGTGCCCGTCACATATATATACTTTATAAGCATACAGCCAAAAAGCATAAAATTAGCTCACTCTGTAACTTTCACTTCAATTTTTTGTAAATTTCTCTCTGCCACTTTCTTTTCTAAGGATCTGAGCGATCAAGAGCAGCCGCCGCTCCAAGCACCTGAAAATGAGATTGGGGATGGGGTGAGTGTAACTTGGGTGCCTTGATCTCTCTCTGCCCTTGGCTCTTGTTATGCTTCATTACAATTTAAAGTGACTGGTTGTATATGTCTTCCTCTGCATCAATAATTCCCGTAACATCTGGTACAATAAGCGTCTCACTTTAGTGTGCTCTGTGAGCATGCTAAATTTGTTATACCAAGCGGCTCCTAAGCTAACAAAATGTCTTTGAAGGATTTCATGGTTCTGAAAGATTTAGAGCTGTGGTTCTCAACCACTGGCATCACGAGGGTCAGTGTCACTTGGGGCAGTGGCTTGCTGCGACCCCCGCCCCCCCTCTTGTGGCCCGCTGCGATACCCTCCCCCGCCCCCTTCCGCTCTCATGGCCCGCCACAACAACCCCCTCCTTTCGTTGCCCAGCTGCACCCTCCTGAGCACTGCACCCAGTGTGATCTGCACCCCCTAATGGGAGGGTATCAGACGATTACAATAACAAAGCAGTAAATGAATGAAACTATATGCATGCAAGCCAATTTTGAAGCCTGAAACAGAGAGTAATCAACCCCACTCACTTTGCCCATATTGTGTGGTCTATCTAGCTTTTGTGGGAGAGCCAGTATTATTAAAAAAATAATGCTGGCCCACCGTTCACGACGGCGAATTCGTCCGTGACGATTTTGTCGCCATCGCCGGAGCCGGTTGTCGGTGGGCCAAAATCAAAATGACCAGCTTCCAACATTTTTTTATAACAGTCACTCCCATCGCCGCTGCGATCACTGTCGAAGGCTCCGACAAAACAAGTGATGCCATAGATGTCATTGTCTCGAAACCACATGCTCAAAACGCCGAAGGTAAACGAGGAAGCCGAAGTTCGAGACGCAAAGAGGGTCAAGTCTGCGAATGCGTGCAAGGGGACGCTGTGCATTGTGAGAACAATGTTGACAACCCAACAAACGCGTTAACATTTTCGAACAGGGTGGATTTGAGGATCCCGCATATAAATCGATTTGTCTACGGAACTATCGCTCCATTTTGGAAACAAATTCGGCAAGAATAGAGGAACATACAATGTTTCCTAGCAGTATAATTGTCTCACATTTTATTTTTGGCGTGTCCCGTCCCCTTTAACGCGGTCACTATTATCCTCCCATTTTCCCACCGCAGGACGAGGCCATTGCTGCTCCCAAGAAGCAAGAAGCGGCTGCCGGGCACGCCGATGGAAACAAAGAGATGCAAGTGCGCCCGCCAGTGGCCAAGCCAGCCCACGGCGAGGCGGGAGACCACCAGGTGGCGGCGGGCGGCGACTCCGTGCCCGTGCTGGGAGCGGCACCGGACGTGGAGGTTCCTCCGAAGCCGGTGAATGGCGAAGCTGCCCAAGCCAAGAAAGGCAATGCCCCTGCCAGGGGCCATGAGGAGAACCTCTTGTGGGGAGGCCACAGGAACGGGGCTGCCTGGCAGGGAGGCCGGCAGGCGGAAGAGGACAACCAGGAGTACGTCAATCCAGGTAGGGAGCGAGCGCTTTTCTGGTTTGCCACATTTTTGGGAAGAAGCGCCTTCGCAGGACATTGCTTTGTATTATTGCATTCTTCAAGGAAAGCTAAAGAGATCTTTAAATATGGAAAAAAAAAACAAAAAAAAACTGTAAAAGTTTTAATGTAGGCATTTTAAAAATGACGTCTTAAGTCTTTTTGTAAAATCTTATTAGTAGCAGCGTCGTAATCGCCATGTAAAATATTCGACGTAGCCCCGCCCATTGCGGCGCGCTGATTGCAGGTGAGCGCGATAGCGGAGAGAAAAACTAGCAAAAGTGATGTCATCGACCGTGTCAGATGACCCTCGCTCGCCACTGAGCTGGCTCGGGGATGCCGACGATGACGTCATGACGCTGTGGACAGGTAACTGGCAGCAGAGAGGCTTAACGCATTCCGTGCGGCAATCGCTGCGCATCATTTTCAAAATAAATGCAGTTTACATTTTACTTCTCCTCAAGTTAAGTGCAATAACTGATTTAATGTGCCAAAAAGCTACAGAAGTCCGCTCCTAACTCAGATTTCTTGGAAAGTGCTTTAGCTCTGCTTGTGTGGCAGGAAAAACAAAAGTAAAGAAGATCTTGTTTCTGTACCTTGTCCGCTGCCCCCTCGACCCTCGACTTGGTGCAGATGGTTCCTATGCCAGGTCTTATCAGTCATTCTATCAGTTTTATTTCATGATATGGTTTCAATTGTATATAATTCTCTGAAGGTAAGCAAGTCAAGTGCTTTTCATTTTCTACTCATTCTTGACCAAAGTTTTCCATTGGTCAAAGAGGGTGGAGGCAGATGTTGCAAGGATTATAGTGGAGCTGCCATTTTCCACCACCCAATTACAAGTGCATGCAATGATCCCTCAAAGTTGGAGGCATACTGACACACTCATTAGTTGGCAAGACACCTTAGGGACCAATGCGGTATTTGTTCCTTGTTGGCCAAGCCTCTGATGTGTGTGTGTGTGCTATCTTAGATGGTCTGAAAAGGATTTTGGGTTTAGGAAGGGCTAGCTAAACCTTCCTCTGCTTCAGTCTCACTGGTTTGAATCTGCCAATGTCAACTATTTGTGGTTTTTACAGGTAATATGCTTTGTTATTGTAGCTGAACTTGGTGTACATATTGAGGCTGCATTCAATTCTGTGCTGTCTTCTTCATTGCATTTGGTTTCTGTTTACGAGCACCTGTAATACTACAGGCAAGGTATGAATGTACCAACATCTTCAAACAGCAAAATATATAAAAGGTTGATCGATTCCTTATGGTTTTTTTATTGATGGTGAGGCACAAATGAGACTAAGGTATTTTCATGTAGAGTTTTGGCCCGCAATGATACATAGAGCTCAATGCTGCTGCTTAGCTTTCGATCCTTTGGTTACCGTAAATGGCCTGGCCATGGCCAGATAATGTGGAGCAAAACGCAAGTGGCTCCAGGGATCGTTAATTAGAGCGTGTTAGAGACCTGAAACTGGAACTTAAACTTCACTTTTAAACATTTATGTTATCTTGTTGTTGGCACTCTTTGGCCACATTTCGCCCTTGTGCCACTAAGTCTCACTCAATTAATCAATCAACATTTATCTTTCTCCTGAAGTTTTTTTCCATCGTGTTGCCCCTGGTGTGTAGACACATCTGTGTTTTTTGTTCCACAACAAAAAATGTGCTTAGGTACGTTTCAATGACCCTACAATAAATTTTTTCGAGGAAAGTATGAAAACGGTGAATTTTAGTCACCCGGAGTCTTCATGTGCCTTCCGTCAGCAGCGACTTTTCTCTTTTGTCTGCTATTCGCCCAAGAGACCTAAAGCAGGCAGCTTGGGACACACTGCATTCATACCAAGAAGCTGGTAGCTTCCACATGCTTCCTCAAATTAGTCATAGGACCTCTACAGATCTGGAAGTCCGGAATTAATTTCTTCGGTTTTCGGGTCGATGGGAACCGACATTGCTGGAGCATAGAGATTATGCTCTTGTTTGCAAAAAGTCTGAAGTTTTTGCACATATATTTATTTAAAAAGCTTAACTACAAGCTTATTTGTTAACTGCATGGCATTATGGGATAGTAGTTATATCCTTTTGCTTTTGGATGCTTCATACGTTCTTCAGATGCTTGGTGTATTGTATATCAAGCGTAACCTATCAGTTACTTCTGAATTCCTTCTGTTCATTGCGGAGGCAATCCGCCTGATTATCATTAATATGGTAAATTTTTGGGGTCATATGACTCTTTGCCTCACTGGCCCCACAGGTCAGAATCATTTTACGCTACAAACAATACAATCACTTAGTGTCGCAAAATCCAATTCTCTATCAAGGTGTCTGTAAAAAAACAAACAATGGAAATGAGGGGTCTTTGATTATACAACGAGGAGTTTCAATGTCTAGGTCTGGATCCGTTTCCAGCTTTGAGAAATAGTAATATATCCGTAAGGCTCTCCTGATCACCTTCATTTACAAAACTGTCACGGTCATTCTCTGAGGATTCATCACGGGAACTTTCAGTACCCCTTTCAGTCTTGTCTCCTCTGCTAAAATCAGCGTCACTTGAATCGCTAACATATTTTTCATAAAAAGTGGACAGATAGAAAGCAGCCATGATAAACTATGCGTGAATGTGCATGCTAAATTCTGCTCGTTCACAAAAGAAAAGTAGAAAAAAGTTACACCATCTTGCGTAAAGCTAAAAAATGAAAGGCATCACGCTTACGCTCTTGATGATAGATGGCACAAACCAAAATTGTTTGTGCGTGCGCAACAGTCAACTGCAAAGCAGGAATGAGACGCCCCAACGTTGACCACTACGGCAATATTGTTTTGTCGGGTGACATCCGACTTGTGACCTCGGAGGTTTAAAGCTTTGTTGACTGTCAGAACTTCCCGATCCCTGGTTGTCGAGCCGAAATTTATTTTCTATCTTGTTTGTAAGAGTGAAACGTTTTTGACCGTTGTTCTCCGGTAACCGGCACAGCCAAAGACGACGATGCAGCGGAAGACCAAGAAGACGATGGACCGTTTGGAGCGGCTGGAGATGCCGCGCAGGGAAAACATTTTCCGGATGCTGCCGATTTCGACGACCAGGTGAAGGCCCGGGCGATTGATGGCATTGGATCAGCCGAACTTGCAGCTGACGCCTTCCTTCACACACTTCGCATGCTTTTCCGCATGAGATTCCACACTTCGTCAAATGACCTTTTAACATCCTTTCGTCTATACCTCTTTCAGTTTGTACTTCCTGTCAAACGTGTCTTGTATCTGCTCGTACCCCGTTCACATTTCTACTAATCCCTTTTCTTTTTCCTCCCCCCTTGTCATCATCGTTTCGTTGAAGAAGAACTAATATCCAGATTGCCACTTTCCTTCTTTATTTCAGTAAGAGGCGATGCTCGCGCTGTACCCACCAGCTCTTTTTTCCTTGACCTGTGATGCATGCTGCTGATGAATTTGCTTGCTTTCAAGATGTGAGCATTTTGCTTGGTGCATGGCTCTTTTTTAACCTTTCCTTTAGAATTTATTTAGCGCATCGCTGATACTGGTGCTGTATATTTGATGCTGCATTGACCAAGATCGATTTTGTGCTCCTTAAAGTGTTGCTGGTTTATCATTGGAGTTTCTTACGAGCCTTAGTTGAGGCCTTCAGGTGTGTTTGCTGCGTGTTGAAACAAGTTGATGCTGCTACTTTCTGTTTTTTTATCATGTAGGCAGGATAAGCTAACCCCTTTAAATAAGAAGCACACCTTTAAATGTTCTTAGGGAGTAGTCAGTTGCAGCATTCTCTGAGGACTACTATATTACATGCTGCACATTAATGTTCATTACTTGAATATTTGCTTCAATTTCATCGGTACTTGTATAAAAGCCTTCTACATCAAATGCTATACTTAAAGGGAATCTGAAACACTTCTTTCAATAAATGAGATAGAGGCTGATTCCAGCATAGTTTTATTTCGTGAACCTGGGAGGGCACCCCGATCGCTTCTTGGGGAAAGTAGTGGATAACCTTGTTTCCTAGATGAAGAAAAAAGATAATGATCATATTCCTTCCAGACAACCAACAAGACCGGCGGTGATTCCTTGCATTCACAATCTATCTCACAATCTAAAAAAAGTGGCGGCTCATTTTGAAGTGCCAGTGGTGTTTTCAGCACCACACAAGCTGTCTCATCTATGTTCAAAAATAAACAATGAAAAGGGAGAGGGTAAAGTGTGCCAAAAGAAACACGCTAAGCAATATGGGGAGTGTGCAACATCAGTGGTATGAGCTGTGGGAAATCGTGTGTGGCCCAAACGGGGCGTTGCATAAATGAGAGGGCCAGGGAACATGCCTGGTCAGTGAAACAGTCCTCGTCGGGCAATCTTGCGGTGCACTGTGATAGGTGCCCATGTGGCCCGGAATTGAAAGAAACAACTGTTCTGAGCAGATACATAAACAAAACAGCGCGAGAAATACATGAGGCATTCCGCATAAGAGAGCAAGGGGAGAGTCTGCATTAGTGCGCCATCACTGCACTTGACAGATAAAGAGTTTTTCTTTTTGAGCCAACACTCAGATGGACAGTATTAATAGTCAGTGTTGTTTCAATAAACCTTCAGTTCAAAGTGCGCTTCGTCTCTGTTCCCTTTTAGAGCGCAGCTCTTAGGGGACCGTTTCCTGCTTGAGAGGCGTCGCCGTCGGCGTAACCGCAAGGTCACGTGACCCCCCCCCCCCCCCCCCTGAGGTCACATGACCCGCGAGGTCACGTGACCCCCTCCCCCCCTTCCCAGGGGTCATGTGGTCACGTGACCCCCCCTGAGGTTACGTGACCTCAAGGAGTCACCTATACCTCAGTACGCTTCCATCCTCCTCAAGAGCTGCGCTCTAATCCGGCGTCACAGGGAATTAATTGTAAACGGCTTTCATTTTTCGGCCTTATTTATTCGGCGCTTTTCATTCACTGAATTTCACGTTTGTTTTCCCTGAAGATGTAAATAAACACGAAAAAAACACGAAAAACCTCAGACCAGTTGTGACGTCATAAGAGGATCTTTCGGCCACCAAGCGCGTGTTGCTCGAGGGCCACCTGTGCAATTTCAAGCTTGCCAGATATATTGCCCCTCACTGGCACCAGTTGTGACGTCTTTTTCTGCCCTTTTTAAAAAGAGCAAGAGCGAGCGTGCATAGCTTTGATAAACACTGAAGATGCACGAGAGCGGAGATTCCGAAAACTCCTTTTGTGACATCACGCTTCGGGAAGGAGCGATACTTTGAAAATGACTTTCTGCAGCTTCCATGCCCCAAATTAAAATATAATTTCGATATTATAGATTCTGGAGGTCAAATGACAATTTAAGTGTGTTTCCTCGAATACAAAACTGCTTCAGCTTCCCATTAAACAATTGCAATCTGCACCAGCAGATAAATTGTGCACATAGGCTCCAGATTTGATTTGAGCATTTCTGTAGTAAGATTCTTCCTTATTCTGACATTTCCACCTTTTCTTTTGTTGTGGGCACTACTAAATCAACAAACCACTAACTTTGGAGCCCACACATCTGCCACAGCAAGTCCACTCCAATTCATGAAAAATATTTTAAAAAAGGGGACTTTCAATAGGCCATTCCAAAGGGCTTGGAAAATATTTCCAGTTTTTCTTACTAACTAATGTCAGCTTCTCACTTTGCTGCTTCTCTGCATTGTGACAGCACACCAAGGAAAAAAAGCTTTCCAGAACATGTGCGCCCACACTTGTGCTTCGCTCTCTGAGTTACGGAGTTACGGTTTTACTTGGTCAATGCTATCGTGAAGCTTAAGCCCACATGATGTACATGTCAAGAGGTGCTATGGTAATTTTTGATATGATTATTCTATCTAGCTGGTGCAACACAATGTTCCATTTTACCATAGCATGCTTTTCTTTTAGAAGTAGATTTTATATATGTGCAGCAGGCACGTAGCCAGGGGGGAGGCCCATGGGGCCCGGGCCCCCCCCTGAAATCTTTCATTTTGCTGGGACCTCCTCTTCCCCCCTCCCCCTCATACAGCATTTTGTCAAGGGCAGGCCCCCCCCCCCCGAACCAAAATCCTGGCTACGTGCCTGATGTGCAGTATGCCGACCTTTCAGGTCTGATAGGGGATCATGTAGAAAGAAAAGCTCTTGGGATATTAAATTTTTATTTACTCTCATTGAAAGCTAAATTTTTTTTTAAAGATGTAACTTACGAAGAAGCACTGTTGTCTTCACGGTGTGGAGAAAATCAACCATCTGCGTTAAGTCTTTATTTTAAACTGTTTTTGTTCACATTCCACCCATTGAATAGTGCGGCTCAAGAGCCCAAGCAATCACCTGATCTCACTTCACGACCGTGTTCTTTCGCGCGATGAGGTCTGTCTGCTATGGTGCCGTCACCATGGCAACAAAGCGTCTGCTGCAAGTGCAAATGCAGAGCGGAAGAAAGCGGCAGCTGACACCATTTTTTTACACTGTCTGCTAAAGTCCACATGGCAATGTTAGCCAAAGTTGAACGCAGCGTAACTTTGGTGGTTGATGACGACAGGGCGGTATTGATGTTGCTGGCCTGTAATAAGGTGGGCTGCTGACATGCTGTTTTCGGCTTTCTGCAACGTGGTAGCCTTATTCCGAACCCTTGACGGTTCCACTGAGGCTTGCCGTAAGCATAAGCCTGAGATTTTAATTTATCTTCCCCTAGTGGAACAGAGCGAAGCGAGGAGTGACCATGAGCGTAATCTTTTTGCGAGCCTATGCTTTTTGTGTAACTTTTGCGGACGTTGCTTAAAAAATGACATCAGCTGTTGCTGGCTTCATGTGTGCATCCATTTAGCAGATGTTTTGCTACCATGGTGACGGTGACGATGGCAGATAGGCAAGGCAGTGTGGCGTTATTAGATGCACGCTTGAACTCTTCTGCCATGCTTTTCAGTCGGCGGAACATGAACAAAAGGTGTTTGAAATAAGGACCCAATGCAGATGTCTGATTTTCTACAGTGCCTAATATTTTGAGGCGTCTTGCATGAAAAGTATGTTTTCCTGGCCATCCTGTGGCCGTTTTTTTTTATCCTTGAACATGTGTCTACTCTGAAGTATCAAACTGCTGTAATTATAGCGTTGACATAAGGAATGCAAGATGTGCACAATGTGCTATACCTGGTAGGAAGTAAGAGTTGCGTTATTGCCAGATACTGATCCGTTTCGCTTCAACTCCACAGGCGGCCGAAGGCGACGTGCAGCAGCCTAACCATGGACGGGAGGAAGGCATGATGGTGAATCCAAAGTAGTGCCCTCCGTTTCACTCTCGTCTCCTTTTTGACGGCGAACTCTCCAAAGACGCGAGAAGACAGCAAGCCCGGTTGTCGGTCAAGTTTGGGACGAAGGAACAGACATTGCGCGGTTCGCTCTTGTTTGCATTTGTGCGTGTGTGTCAAAGACACGTGATCTCGCTGCCGGAAATGCTCGTGGAGCCTAAGCCGTTAGCAAGTGGGAGACGGCTCTGCTTCTTGGGAGACAAGGGGCCATCGAAGGGCACCTCCCGACCTCGTTCATCGATTATGCAAGCTTTTCGTTCTGTTTTCTGTCGCCTCTGCTTGAAGAACCCGCCGCTGCGAGGGAGTTTCTGCGGTCTGCCGGTGTCGTCGTTTTCCACTCCCTGAGTGCTGTGCAAGGACAGGACGTGGGAGAGCTGTGATTTGTGGGGGCTTTCTCAATGCATTTCAGTGATTGGGGGGGGGGGGGGGGGGGGTGTTCTTCATTGACAGTTCCTTTTTTTAATACAATCTTTTTATCGCTGTGTTCCTACGTTTTGTATGCAATAACACCGTGTAATATAATTTTTTTTTTTTTGGAAGGGCTATTAAATTTGCACGTTGGCTTGGTTTGAAAGTGTCTTTGCACTTAGAAGGTTGCTAAAGTCGTTTTCGAGTCCATCTTTTTAGGGTTAAAACTAAATCTATGCACCTTGCACATCCTGGAATACCCACATTTAAAATCGTTTGTGCCCTCTTTTCCTATTCCAAGAAAAACGTGACAAAACATAGCGACATGCCTCCTTTTTTGAGACGTGCCTGGGGAAGGCGGCATTTCGGCATTTTAGACATATTTCGCTCTATCTCGCGGACTTCTACAGTGGAGACTCCTGGGCCCATGCCCGGGAGTCTAACTAAGCAGATTGCCTTGTCAGCCTGAGAAGTCGCTCTCAGAAGGAAAGTTCTAAAACCATGCACTCGCACCCGGCCCTTTGTCAGCACTGTAGATGTTCGTGAGATAAAGCACATGCTGATACAGAAAGAGCAATAATAATGCCTGCAGTAGGGGAGCAAGGGGGAGAAAGGACAAACAAATCTCCAAACATGGCTAGCACACATGCACCTTTGCATTAATTGCATTATCATCATTCTGATACCTTTTTTTCTAATTTTTTTTATTTGCGATTTTAGAGATTTATTTTCCATCAGTTTTCCACCTAGGCAGGGGGGACGAGGAGGGAAGAAAGGGAGGAATTACAGATGTGTAAGGAGGTTTGCTTCCGTACATTGCCCATGAGGCTACGGCAGATGTCAAGTTGTAACTCACTCGGTCGTGAGCGACTGCTCTCGAAGGAGTGCGTTACGACCTCCTGCGATTTCTTATGACAAGGACACACTGGCGCCATCCATTGAATAGCAGTGGAACACACTGTTCCCATATATTTCCTTTTCTTTTTTTAGGGCATCCTCCTTTCTCTTTTTGGCTCGAAAAACTTTTGATGGCGTTATAAACAATCATTTCTAAGAGACAGTAATCACAGTGCACACATTAGATCTCGCAAATACTACGAAACCTTCACTCTAGTGAAGTGCATTTCTGGCGTCGCCTCAGATGGCGCCAGCGTGCCAGTGTGTTGTGTGTTGAGTTCGTTTTCTTATCGTAATATATTGCGAGAGCTCAATCCTAAGCAAATGCCAGTGTGTGAATGGGCCTTGAGTGTGTTTTCTTATTTCTTGTAGTGCATAACACTTCCAAAGAAGGTGCTTCTGGTCCACATCTTCAGAACAGAGGGAGCAAGAGGGAAAGCTCTATCGTGCCCATCGCGCCGCGTGTGCTCGGCTGGCAGTGGTGTTCGTAACAATCTTATGAGTGAGCACCGTCTCCCACTGACCTATCCCACTTGGTATTGGGTAGATGCAGGGAACGAGCGCAGCCTGTTTAGATTCTTTTGCAGCGACCCTTTGCCTCTGTTGGGTCATAGTCTGGGTCCTATGCAACGAGTGCCAGATACAGTTTCCACACACAGAAACAAGTACAGTACACCATGAAGCTCACACAAGATTGGGATTGTGTACCTGTTGAGGAGGTGAGTGATGTGGTTGGAAAAGGAAGGGGACGTCCTGTGCACGCACATTAACTGCTGCACAGCCTTATTATACGGGTTCATTTTTGCCTTAAAGGCCGACGTACGACCTCGGTTTTCTGCAGGAAAGGTAATGCCTCTCCTAAGCTGCTAGGGGAGCCAAGGCCAGAGGGAAGGGTTGGACAGTATTGCAATACAAATGTATTGTAATATAGTACTTCAGAAATACAAATACTTTTAGTATTTATATTTCTGTATCACGATAAAAGTTTTCAGTCAGTACCTGTGTTTCAGTATCGAAATACCTTTTTGGTGTATTCCTTTTATTGCGGTACAATCCCGGGCCAATGTGTCTTGTTACGCGGTGCTACCCCAAGGAAAAGCTCAAGAGACTGTTTCCTTCCTTTTGTGCTTCAGAGCGGTAGAAGGACCTTGAGACTTCGTTATCAAGCAGACCAAGGCTTGTTTCGAACACAATGGCCCGCATTGGTGACTCCCCTATTTTCCAAATATAACAAATGTCTTCCGGAGTGCTTCAGATGGGCAACTATTCTTGTAGAATCAAAAATTTGAAGCCACTGTAGGTATGAGCTTTATAACTATACATTGCACTCCCAGCCCCATTTACTTAGGCGAGCGTAAAGTTTATTCCTTCAGGTCATCGGGTAAAAAATTTAATTTTAATGTGGTGTTACCGACATGAGACTAGACGGTGCTGACCTTTCGGGGATATTTGGGTAGATAGCTAGACAACAAAGGTAGAGGCTTGAGTGGTATTGCTTGAAAGGTGTGCAATATATCTAAAGGAGAACTGTTTGCATCTTCCGCTCCCCTCTGAGGGTGCCAAACTGCGCATGCGCGGCCCGCTTCGCCGGAATGGAAAGCGGAGGTACAAAAATGCGTTGGAGCGTTTTTCTTCAGCGTAAGAGCATTTTGAGCGGGTTTGAAAAATTTCCTTGCGTAACCCCACAAGTGGACGTCTATAGTACTAGTAAGACAAAAAAAACCTAAGCGTTAACACCAAGAGAGTAAAAGGGAGCGTGATTGTAGAGGTAGTAAAAACAAAGGCGACAATAATGAACACAAAAGAGTAGGCACACACCCGAAAATATAAATACAATCGTTCCACCTTGTGTGCGAGTGAAGCCGAAGGTATAAGCCGTATAAGCATGAGCATGTTGCTCTAAACCATGGAGAATAGAAGGGTAGGAGAGGGCATGACGTCGGCCGGGTAGCCTCCACAAGCCATGCTCCCTTGACGCCTCGCCTCCTTCTCATTTTCCTCCTTACTCTCCTCACTTACCATGCCAACGTGACCACATCACGTGACCGTAGCTAGCCTTGGTCTTGCTATGGGGTACTAGAATACACCACAGTCTAGCCTTCGATCTGATAAAACCTACCGGACGGAGCGCGCGCAAGCCTGGAAGGGGTCCTTCTACAATCAACCATCCATCTCACACGTGACATGTCACGCGCACCAATCACCAGACAGATCTGCGGTCACGCTGGGCACAAAATCGTTTAAACTTTTTATGACTAGGCTTCACCAATGTTGCAACGTGCCCCCTCCTAGTACTTCTAACCTCCTTGCTCTAAACGGTACCTGCACTGCACGAGCGCGCGCGCTGGTCAAGGACGCTGAAAGGCCGGCACTCGCTCTTGTAGCTTCTGCTCCACTCGAATTAAAAATGAAACAGAGTTACTTATTCGAAGTAGAAAAATGAAAGAAAAGGACGAAGTTTGCGCATTGCGAGTACGGCGAGTACATTCTTTTGCGAAGTACGAGTACAGTGTTGCTCAAGGCTAGCAAGGCATCAGCACGATGAATCCCCGCTGTTCTCAAGGAAGGAGACTTCTACTAACTAGATTAAAGGGATACTTCAACGAAATTTGAAATATTCCCGCCGTGTTCAAAAATAGGTTGAATATGATCCACAATATCCGTAAAAGACAATCGCACGTTTGTATTTTGAGCCTGGTGGCTGTATTTTTCGTTATAAACGGCCCACTCTGGCAAGCGCTCGGAGAAGGCCCAGCGGAGACCACGTGACATCCAACGCAATCGTGACGTAGGTCGTCTCAAGACGAGCAAAGCTACAATTCGAGGCTGACGTCGAGAGGATGGCCTAGTCGTTCCAGGCACCGAAGCGGCTGCTTTTGTACAAATTTTGAGTGACGGGTTAATCTTCTATAATCTTGTAGGGGGAGAATAGCGACTTCTGTGACACACAAAAGGCATTCTCGGGAAGATAGAGTTTTTCCTTCCCCCCTTCTCTCGTCGTGGCCGGAGACGAGACAACCTCCGTCACTAGCTGTCAAGGTTGCTAGACGGGCATTACAAGCGAGGCGTTAGCGACTTCACCAGGTGCTCTTTGCTAATCGTTTAATTCGTTTTAAAATTCCTTTTCGTGACTTTTTTAACAAGATATTGGTATGTTCGATTTGATGGTGCTTTTTTGAACACATATAGACCAAAAAATGAGCACCGAAATTTCGTTGTAGTATCCCTTTAAGCTGTCGAGACATCGAAGTATTTGTATCCCTCGTGCCATCAAGCGCCGAAGCTTCCTTTCCGAACGCGGTTTGCTGGATCTTTTCAACGTAGAAGAGCAACCCTTTAGGAGGCTATCCCGCTTAAAGGGATACTTCAACGAAATTTTAAATATTCCCGTCGTGTTCAAACATAGGTTGAATATGATCCACAATATCCGTAAATGACAATCGCACATTTGTATTTTAATCCTGGTGGCTGTATTTTCCGTTATAAACGGCCCACTCTGGCAAGCGCTCGGAGAAGGCCCAGCTTAGAGCACGTGACATCCAACACAATCGTGACGTAGGTCGTCTCAAGACGAGCAAAGCTACAGCGAGGCTGAAGTCGAGAGGATGGCCTAGTCGTTCCAGCCACCGAAGCGGCTGCTTTTGTACGAATTTTGAATGACGGGTTAATCCTCTATAATCTTCTAGGGGGACAATAGCGACTTCTGCGACACACAAAAGGGATTATCGGGAAGACGGGAGTTCCTCCTTCCCCCCTTCTCTCGTCGTGGCCGGAGATGAGACAACCTCCGTCACTAGCTGTCAAGGTTCCTAGACGAGCATTACAAACGAGGGGTTAGCGACATCCACCAGGTGCTCTTTGCTAATCGTTTAATTCGTTTTAAAATTCCTTTTCGTGAATTTTTTATCAAGATAGTGGTATGTTCCACATGATACCGCTCTTTTGAACACATATAGACCAAAAAATGAGCGCCGAAATTTCGTTGTAGTATCCCTTTAAAGGGAAACTCCGCTTCATTCTCGGTTGTTAGCAAACACTGCGACAAATTTAGTGTCATCTAGAGAGACCGAATGTCAAATATAACGTAATACCGCCTAAAACATCACTAAACCGGCCGACAAAAACTGAGACGCGCGAAGTCACCAAAATCCGCTAATTTAGCGGGCGACGTGCGGCGCAGCCAACTTTGTATTTCCGTTGTGGCTGACGTCTGTTGCATACGCAGTTTTTTTCTTGGTATTTTCTTTTCCAGGGAGAGCTTACC